CTGCCTCTGCCTCTGCCTCTGCCTCTGCCTCTGCCTCTGCCTCTGCCCTCTGGCTTGTGCAAACCTCGGGTCTGTGCCAGCCAGTTTTGAACCTTTCTTCTAATGAAGATTTCTTCCTTTGTGTTATGTCAATAAGGGAGACACTCAAAACTAAACAGATTAGAAGAAAGGCCACTTGTGTATTTGCTAAATAGGATTGGAAAAAAGTCCTTTTTCCTCCCTGTTTTTTCACGGGAAAAAGCTGACCTGGTTATAAGCATAAGTCCAGCAGAAGTATCTTTGCTGGGAATACTGATCAGAGTGAAGGGTTCAAATGCTTTTGGGGATAAGGATCCAGCAGCCTGTGTCTAGTTGGTATTTCCTTTTGGGTGTCCAGGGCAGCTCTTTGCTTGCTAATTTCTGAAATTGTTGTTCTTTTCTGTAATTCTGGGCTATGATTGGCCCTGGCTGTCAGATATTCTGAAAATGTAGTGTGGCAGCCCCAAGCCCTCTTTGGAGTTTTAGACTACACAGAGCTTGGTGAAATATTTTTTAATCTGATTTCCCAGTGAAAAGTCTGTTTGTCAATCAGTCTGTTGTTTTGTGATTGGGCAGGGAAGAAAATCCACAAATAGTACATGAGAGAAGTGGACCATTATCCTTGCTTGTAGGTGGCAGGTGACTGGTCAGTATACATGTCCTTTTTGGCCATGCGTAGATCCAAAATACCATAACACACATTGTCCCTTGCTCTGGTGTCAAAAGAGAGAAGATTTTGTGTTATGAGAAAAAAATTATGTATCTAACTTTACATAATAACTTCTTAAAATATCTGTGGTTTTTTTAGTGTGGTAAATAAATGATGGTTTTTTAAACCAAAATAACCCCCTTATACCTAAGGTCTTCTGATACAAGAACCTACAGGTACATACACTCCACTGGAGCAGTGACTCCCAGTTTTTACCATGCCCCTGAGCCCAACAAGCCCCTGTGGAGCCCACACTGGACTTGTGGGACTGCTAGCTTGGGAACTGGGCTAAGGTTCAGACAAAATATGCTCGTTCCTCAACTCTGAAGCCCACATTATTGGTTAGAAACTGTAGCTTTAGGTAAGCCCTGGTAACTCACTGAAACTTTGTGCCTTGTCCTCTCTGCCCTGGTAAATAGAAACATCAATATTGGATAAATATAATTATATGTTTTGTCATAGCTTAAAGATGTTCTTTAAGATAAGCAACATTTTCTTACTGTCTCTGGTTTAGAGATGTGGTTACTGACAGAGGAGTGGGTAAGCAACTCTACATAGAGCTCACTGAATTCACCAGGAAGCCCTTAGAGACTTCACTTAGCATTGGAGAGATGCCAGTATATCCCTGTGAAAGACTTGAGGCAATTTGGTCCTATCTCCTGTGAATATTTATTTCAGTTTTCAGGGAGTAGTTCCACACCCTGGAGAGCAGAAAAACCACATGCATGGAGCTGAGCTGTATTTTAACAAAGCAACTGAGAGCAATATTTTTGCACTGCACAGGTAGTCGATATTCTAAATAATGTAATTGCATGCACACGCTTTGTTTATTACACATAAGCGTCTCTATTAAAGTACTATAATTAAATAACCACCTTTTGTTGGACCAGCTCTATTTTCTAAATTGTAAAACCACTTCCCCCTAGCACAAAACTTGTGCCAGAACTCAGTTGCCCCCTGAGGCTATCAGGACATTTGCAAATGCTTTGCTTCATCATAACCAGGAGCTGGGTGGGTCTGGTGCTCAAAACATGCCAGCTTTCAACACAAGAAGTAGGCTTTGGTGGTTACTTCTGGAGTTAATTCTTGACACCAATCAAAATCTTTAGTCATTAAATTACCTTTAATTTTAAAATAATTTAAATAACAGCTTTTCTCACTCTCTAGCTGAAGTCCTGTGTTAAGATGATGTTAGATACTCAGGTCAAACAGACAACTCTTGGACATTCCAGTGTTGCTCCTCTAGTAAGCCATGGGGTGACTCAGACTTTGGGAATTTTAAAAGTTATGAAATGTTGGGACTATTTGAGGCCTTGCTCCTTTCTGTGTTTACCTGTTTGTGGAGCAATGATTCAGTGCCAGTTATAATGTGATTATAATGGGATGAGTATACACCACATTATTTTAAAACTAATTTATCTGTGTATCATTGGCTGATGTCATACATAAGATTGAAGAGTGGGAAAAGAAAAGCATAGCACATTTGGGCTTTAAAGATGGAAGCACTAATAGGGTAGCTTAGGGTGACTGGACAACTAATAACATCAGTCAATGTGCTTCCCTTTAGCTAGCCAGACATTTTCCAGTGAAGTATGCTACTGATAAAAGATGGTTATTTGAACCCAGAATATTTCATGGACACATCTAAGGGTTCATGATCTTTCAGTATTCACAGGTAGGAATCTCTCAGCTGTAGCAAAGCTTGGAAGTAGCCCCCCTGAAAGGCTCTTGGACTGTGGCTAAGGGAAAAAACTGCCAATGTTAGCTGGTTTTACGGCTACACAGCACTGACTAGTAGAGGTGAAATGACCAATGCTAGGAGAATATTTTTTACAGGATGCAACAGCTGCTGGTGTCCCAACTTATGGCAGTTTTGACATGGAGGAGGGGTACAGGGAATACCTGAATAGTAGGGCTGATAGTAGTAGGGCAGATGGACTAACATCCTTTCTACCTCATGGCTGTCAAGTTATTTAGATGAAAAAAATTCTGTTTTTCTTTAAAAACACTTCTTTACTTTTTATTCCAAGTATGTGATTACAGCAAAGATTGTAGTCTACATCACAAAAAGTCACTTATTGTTGGCTCATATCTAAGACATCAGAAAAAACTGCTAACAGAGTAAAAAAATGAGTAATATCTGTGTAGGCATGGAGATCTAATTCCTGATTTGTTTTCTTGGGCATTCCTTTGGAACAACATGAATAACATTTTCTAGGGTAATATGTGTAAGAGTAGTTTGCCCTTTGAGGGACTTTGGATGAACATAACAGTTTTTGAAAAATTTGGGTTCAGCTCTGCTATTCCCATGTGTTGGGATGAGCAGCTTCAAAGACTCTCAGGGATTTGTCTTTCCTCTCTGATCTTTCCCTCTGACTTTTCTTAACCTCACTGCTATTCGGCTCGAGACTTACCATAGCATATGGGTCCCAGTTCAGAGTTCCCTTCTTTTATGAGGTTGGGATGGGCTGTTCAACAGGTGTCCCACTGTTGCTAATGCCACATACTGGAAAAGAGAGGTAAAGCCCTTTAGCTTCCAGAGCTGTCAGTCCTGGTACTTTTCACAAGCGACACATTCAACCTTTTCTGATGGCTCAAGCTGTTCCCTCTGAGCTTCCTGTACTGTGTTGATATGGCAATAGGCTGCCAGATTTTACATCAAGAGCAGTGCCACAGCATTTCGTTATAAAAATTTATGGTGGTTGATTCAAGATGCCTGGAGAACTTTCTTAATTGTTTCCCTTACCTCTCTGGAGCTTCAAGGTTAATCTATTTTTCTGCCTACAAAGCCATCAGATTATTTCCTTTCCCATTGCATTCCCCTCTGGAGCACTCTCTCCATAGGAACATACACCTGTGTGAAGAGGTGTAGGCCATGTCTGGCTATTTTTGATGTATATTTTAGCAATGCCAAGTGCTTGCAATTCCTGGACCGTTAAGCTGTTGGAAAGCCTAGCTCCAGTGGAAATATGCCTGGTTTCCCACCAGCTCTCAAGCTCAGGCTTCTGGCCAGTGGTCCTGAGGCAGCCCTGCACTTCTGATATCTTTCGAGTTTTATATTCTTATAAAGTTCAAAAATGTGTCCAAGGTTCCCTGGCAGGAACCAGACAAGGGGGCACTGCAGTGTAAAGGTCCAAAAACTAAAAGATCCCAGGTTTTGGGAGTGAAAACTGGAATCTTTATTGAACACATGAAATGCTATTTAAGGATCTCAGGGACAGAACATGCTAATGAGGAGGCCGGGTTATGCCAACTAGGGGACTACCCAATTGATTAGCATTTCCAGTAACAAGGATTACATAGGGGGGAAAAATGGTTAACATTTCCCATATCCGGGATTACATGTGGGGAGAAGAGGATTAATATTTCCAGTAACCAGAATTACACTGTGGGGAGGATGGTTAACATTTCCTGAAAGAAGGATTACAAGGGAGGGAAGAAAACAAAGGGTCTTTTGCATGGACTGATAGCATCATCACAAAGTCTTTCCATATCCTGCTGCAGGAGATAGGACAATCCACATGGTTGAATATCAGTGGGTCTTGTCTGGCCCTTAGATGATGGAATTTCCCTCAGCCCCTGTTGTCCACGGCCTGCTACATAATACTAGCAGTTCCTTTTCTGCTGATATCCGAATTTTGGATTGCTACGCTGCAGAATGTGCCCATTAGCGGAGCATCTGAGCTCCATTTGTGGTTTGTAAGGGTTGGGGCATATATTTGAGCACTGCCCTGTGGTTTCCCACATTGCTTGGCTGGGTTATCCTGGTTGCTGGCATGGTTTTGACTGGTACTGACTACCGGTTGCTGGTACTGGGCACTGTGAGGAGAGCAGCAGATACCAAGGACCTTTCCTGCTGGGCAGTCTTGGATATGACCACCTTGATTTTGGGAGAAGAAGTGTCTTCCATGCAGGGGAGAGCCAAGAACTGCCATTTGTCCACAATGCCAGAGCACAGCCCATTTTACTAGTCCAGACAAACCAGTAGGTGACTGCTAAGAGATTAAATGTGCCCTGGCTGCTCTAGGGCAGGATGCTCCCAAAGCAGTATAAAGGGCATACAAAACAGTCCTGTTCAGATGACTCGGGGCTGGCTGCCTCTAGGGAAGGCTGGAGCCTGTCCTGTGGAACAGCTGGGCATGACGTGCTGCCCTTTTGCCTCTGTGATTGTTGCTGCTGCTGCCGTTACTCTTATTGTTATTGTGGTGATGATGATGATGATGTGTGACTTTCTGAGCTTCCAACCTTCCAAACA